CTGTGGGCTGGATGTGGAGGCAGGCGGAGCAGGACCTCCGCTTGCAACCCCGGGGCCTTCTGTCCTCCTCGCTTGGTCTTTACAGGCTCGTACTACTGACAGTGTTTTATGAGCAAACACAAAACTTTAAAAGAACATCCCTAATACTGGAGGACTATCAACTCTGACCCCCAAACTACTCTATGTCAGCTACCCTAGGGGACATGTCCCTGGAACAGCACGTTCAATCACAGTCACTGGAACACGGCCACACCCATGCCCAGAACATCCCCTACAGCACCTGCACACACAGCTGTTTGGGGAAGCGCACACTGCGTTAATCTAGAGGAACACTCACTCCCACACTCCAGGAAAATTCCATACCCTCGTATCTCAGACCCCACCATACGTCATGCCAGGTTCCCCACTTGTGCCTCAGAGGTACAACTCTTACGTGGGATGACTCTTCCCGCCTGTTACCGCAACTACATCTGGAAGAAAGAGCAGACAGGCCTACCCTCCAGGACCACCTGATCCTGGGCACCTTCAGAAACCTAACATCGCATACGCACACTCTTACTTCCAGAAATACAAAAACAAACTTGTTACCTCTGTCCCTTTCCCTGCAGATCATATTCATACCACTGTTCTTCTATAACTAAATTAATCGCTGCACCCAAAACCCAGTTTGCATTTTAGGTCACTTTTCCCTGTCAAAAGTAAGCATGACCCCCCCAGCCCCAGGGGCACATGACCTGCAGCGAGGCCCACTACTACCAACCGACTCAACAGTAGCAGCAAGCAATGTCCCTCTCCCCCAGGACTACCCGCTTTGTTGCTTCTCTCCTTGGGTCTCCAATTTAAGAAATTCCTTAGAGAATGCACATTAAACACATACCTTGTATGTACAAAAAGCAGAACTCCATGGCTTTTACATATCAAAACAACGTGCATGGAAAATGAACGCTAAATAATGGGGGTACCTGCCATAAGCGGGTACATACTCAGGGAGAAAAGCACACTCGCAGCAAGCTTTGGAAATACCCTCCTGCACACTCTTGGGGGACACTGGTCTTCAAAGAGAGCTATGGGTTAGCCTGGTGATGGGCATTAAGGAGGGCACGTTCTGCATGGAGCACTGGGTGTTATATGCAAACAATGAATCATGGACGCTACATCAAAAACTAATGATGTAATGCATGGTGATTAACATAACAAAATAAAATTTAAAAAAGCAAGCAAGCAAGCACACACAGGTCAAAGGCACACACCTACATGGGTGAAGCCCCACAGGAAGGCTGCAGTCTGCAGCTACGAGGGCAAATGCTCAGGGTCACTTACACTTCCAAGAAGTGGGACAGATCGAGTGGACGTTCTTGAGCACTTACCTGGAGACAGGCAGCCCAGAAGAGGTCACTGAGGTGTAGACCTCGGGTGTGTTCATTCAAGAAAGAGATTCGTAAATCAGAATTGTAACAAGGAGAAACTCACAACTTAGAGGACGTCCGTATTTTTGTCTTACGAGGAAATGATCCTACATGATTACCAGTTAGATCTGGCACATTTTGTTTACAGAAAATGAAGAATTACACTGAATTACAATGCTTATCTGAAACACACCCTTCCAAAAGGGATCCTCATCCAAAATCAGAAAGTCACAGAAATAAATGAGGAATTACAATACTAGCATGTCATTGTGACCCTCAAATTCTCCACTGTTGTAAAGTGACAGAGTAAAAATAGGATTTCCCGTTTGTCTCAAATGCCCACAACTAAACTCAGAGATAAGTTTCCTTAAAATATACTCAGATCATCTGTGAACACAGCATGGGAAGTTATTCCCAAAAGGTTATTCCTTCAGTCCAACTGTGAGCTAAAGAATACTTAGCATGAGAGGTCACCAACTGGAGCAAACGTGTTCTTTATACTTGAAAAAATAAACAGAAAAACAGGAAATTTTCCAAAGTTACTTGTCTCCATTCAGTACAAAAACCAGGGATTCCATGTGACCCAATGCGGTTACATACGTGTTTAAAAGGGTCTCTCTCATGCGCGTGCACATGGAAACACAGGGTAAGATGTAAAAATTGGTGCAACAGGATGCAGTTACCCCTGACATAAGTAAACACAGACACGTAATGGCTTTCTTTTTTAAAGATTTTATTTTTAAATAATCTCTATACCCAACATGGGGCTCAAATGCACGACCCCAAGATCAAGAGTCACACGTTCCACTGACCAAGGCAGCCAGGTGCCCCTCACTTTTAAGTCAACTCTACCCCCCATGCAATGGCTAGCTGTTCGAGCAGCATCTGTCCCCAGCAGCTGTCTGTCCCCACGCTCTGCAGTGCAAGGCATTAGAGCGGCACTGCCAGACTTCACTAGGGTGACAGCACACTGTGAACCCACCTACTGCCAACAGCAACACTGCACATGCCCCAGTCCTTTAGGAAACAACTCCCAAAGTCACCTGAAGAGGACTTTGAGACCCACGGAGTATCTTTTCCATGTAATTGTCAACACGTAACTCTCAAAACTCCGTGGGGAGAAATACCTGAGAAGTAAAAATTCACCTGCACTCTTCCTGTGGCAACTCAAAGTCAGCCCAAGATTCCCATTAAAACGAGTCATTCCCGGGGCGCCTGGGGGGACTCAGTCGGTGAAGAGTCTGCCTTCGGCTCAGCGGGGAGTCTGCTTCTCCCCGTCCCACTGCCACCCACCCCCCTTCGTGCTCTCTCTCAAATAAATAAAATCTTTAAAAATAAACAGAAGAGGGACGCCTGGGTGGCTCAGTCGGTTAAGCGTCTGCCTTCGGCTCAGGTCATGATCCCAGAGTCCTGGGATCGAATCCCACATCAGGCTCCTTGCTGAGCAAGGAGCCTGCTTCTCCCTCTGCCTGCCTCTGTCTCTCTTTGATAATAAAATCTTTAAAAATAAATAAATAAATAAATAAATAAAATAAACAGAAAATAAATGAGTCATTCATAGCAGAATTCAAGGCCTGGATTCAAAAGAGACAGGCCCAGTCAGGTTCCACTCTGATGGCGGGCCCCAGCACCAGCTCTGTGACCCCTTGCCCTCACTGGTAAAGGCAAAGACCACCTCACCCTCCCCTCTCCCTTCCCCAACTCCAGCATCCTGGAGCCCAGTTCCTGGCCCAGGGCAGCACTCTCGGCCCCAGGATGACCAGCAGACTACAGGACTGGCCAGGAGCTGGGCTCAGAGACTAGACTCAGCCCTTCCCGGGGCCTGACCAGGGACAATGGGCAAGTCCGCCCCAGCAGCTGTATCTGTGAGATTAAGGCGACACTTCCATCCCTATCAGCCTGATACCAGCGCCGCGTGCTCGGCCGACTCCACAGCCGCATGCATTAGGAGGAGGACTTGTGCCCTAGGCCCTGAATATCCGTGTCCTCCGGGGTCGTGATGAGGACTACATGAGGCCGCGATAACAGCACTTCATACAGGAACCAGAACAGAAGCAGCCAAGAAACTTATTTACTGTGACCTTTACTGGAATGAAGATACCGTATTTGTTATCAACTAGAGAAAAATAGCAACACTGAGGTACCATTTCACACCCAAAAACTACTATCAAAAAAAAAAAAAAAGTGTCGTCAAGGACGTGGAGAAACTGGAACCGTCATGTACTGCTGGGGAGAGCAGCATGGCGGCTCCTCAGAATCTGTCACCCCAGGAGCCAGCAACCGCACTCCTAGGCACACAGCCAAGAGAACGGAGAGGACTCAAGCAACCTCACCCAGGTTCACAACAACACTACTCACAACAGCAAAAGGTGGAAACCCAAATGTCCAGCAACAAATGAATGGATAAGCAAAATGTGGTTTTGAAACAGAAAAAATGTTGGTCTGCCCCCCTGGTTCGGGACGCAGGAAATTGACGGGGTTCTGGGAGCTCTGAGGTCACTGAATTGCTCTGACACCACCCACCTGGTGTCAGAAGGGCTGGGAGGGTGGCACTTAGCGCCGAGTCCACAGAAGCACAAGGGTTTTTATACGGTGGACTCTTGAACAACACGGGCTGTAACTGCAGGGGTCCATTTTCAATACACTGTAGTACTACAAATGCACGATTTCTCCTGCTTTTTTTTTTAGCAATGCCTCCTTCAACTTTATTTTAAGGATAGGGTGTATGACGACAAACAAAATACACTTTATTTCATCAGTAAGGCTTCTGGTCAATGGTAGGCTACTAGCCATTAAGTTCTGCAGTGTCAGAGTCACAGAGACTCGGGGCTGCGCAGGGGGTCGGCACCCAAGCCCACCTTGTTCAAGGGGCATCTGTATGCAGGAAATCTGTGAAGTCAGGAACAACACAGCCGCACTCATAAACCCAGCAGTCTTTGTACACCGCGTAACGCTGGCTCATGACACGAGCCACGAAGCGACGCGCGCTCAGGACAGCCACTGCCCCCCTCCCCGGCACTGCCCCAAGCAGGACAGCACGTGCAGGGGACAGAACTGTCAAACCCACACCCTTCTGACAGAAAGCACAGCCCCAGCCTCAGAACTTCTCTTCCTCAAGAACCGCTCAACACAAGTGACGTAAGTGCCGACTACAACTATTCCCTTTCAAAATAATATAAGCCTCTGAATAACTTTTTAGAAGTCAATGATGTTAATTACAGAAAACATAAGGAAAGTGCTGCATTTTAAAATACTATACAAACATAAATACAAAGAAAAGCAAATTATACACCATTGCCAAAAGCACCCAACAGTGATAAAAATTAACAGCCTGTGTGATAGGGCAGACCCCAAGTCCTTCTTTTCACCGGGGATCATGACTGAATGAAATGCTCCGTGTAAGGATGGACCCTTCGCGCCAGCGCCCCAAGGCGGAGGAAAGCAAGGACCACGTCTTGGAAGAAGCAAGGGGGCAAGAGCAGGACTCCTCTGCCCAGTCCACCCGGAGAGGAGCTCCCCGTGTGCAGCGCACGCCCTCCTGTCTGTGCTTCGTGCCTGGACAGACAGCCGCCCCTCCGGCAGGGCCCCACTTACCGCTGGGCTTGACCTCCCGCACGTAGTTGCTGGGAAACCAGCCAGTCCTGCCGTTGTGCGTGCCCTCCCACCAGCCGCCTTCCTCCACCCGCGTGACATGGATGACATCTCCCTTCGTAAAGGAGAGCTCGTCTTCATTGGTCTGCTGGAAGTTGAACTTGGCTCTCACGACCAGCTGGTTGTTGCTGTTGTCAGTCATGTCCTAAAAAGGTTAGAAGGGGGAGAAAAGTTTCATGGAGTCTACTTCACATAAAATCAGATGATGTCTGACCAGTCTGAGTAGAGCGTAACTGCCCCGTTCCAACAGAACCACCGTTCAAGTACAGAAACAGGTTTGGGACCTCCTACAGTGTACCCTGACCACCGGCACCTGGTTCCAGCCCCGGGGGAAACCCTCTTCCTGGTCTGAAAGGCCTTATTTTGGCCAAGGTTAGGCCTACGTTAACATTACACACTTTCATACATACATTTACATCAAATTATATGGAGCATCTTGACAATTTATCAAAAGTTAACACAGTGTGGTCATTTCTAGCATAATTACTTTAGTCTTAACTAACCATGCAACTGAACCGTATGGCCATGCCATTAACTCATTCTCCATTACTGGATTTAAGGTTATTGCTACCGTTTTTCTACTGCAAAACAAGTTTGCATTAAAACTATCTGCACATCTCTGAACACACCTGTAAATAAGCCTACACATTAAGTTCAGGTCAGAAAACATGTACGACACATTCTAAATTTTAGTACCAATTTCTAAACTGCCCTCCAGAGGCTCTACTTACAGCCAGCAACACTCCCCCCGGCAGTACTGAAGAGCTGGCTCTCTGCACACTCACCAGCACTGAATACTGCCCAGCATTTTTATTTGTGCCCAACTGCTGGCAAGAAATGCTATCTCCTTTTCATTTGCCTTTTCTCCTCAGGGATTCAGCATATGTGCCTATCTCTGAAAGGCTGGAAGAGGGAGGCAGACTGGCTAGAGTTTCTTTTTATTCCCATCCACCCCAGACTGGGTGCTGGAGAGGCTTGCCACTAGAAACTACCAGCAGGAGTAAACTAAACACATCCCCCCAAGGAAGCCTGATCTCCTGGTGAAAGGAGCCAAAGAGGGCCAGCGGGCAGGCCCACTCACCCACTGGCAGGGGTGCGCCCTCTCAGCCTGCACCTGGGAGTCCACGGGGACAGGAAAGGTCGTCCCACACCTCACGGAGCACCAGCACTCCCCCTGCACTGGAGACATCAGCAAAGATCAGGCAGGGAGTCCCCACCTCCACCCCCACCAGGGGGCAGCCAATGGCCCCATGTGCCTACACCGGTGTCCCCTGTCCTCCAGCCAGCCTCAGGGGAGGGCCCAGGCCCAGCATGTCCCCCTCTCCCATCCAGCAAGGTCATCAGGGACCAGAGGGAACCCCAGCAGTACCAGGGGGGTGAGGCTGACCACACACCCCCACAAGGACTCTGGGAACTAAGCTACCACTGGAAGCACAACCTACCAACACAGGCCAGGACCATTATGTCAAGCCCAGTCAGGGTCACGGCCTGCAAACACACCAGACATAAAAGTAGGATGCAGCATCTCCTTGAATTCCTCCCAAGTGTCAAGAATACAAGGCAAAGCACCGCTCAGAGAACCAGGACAACCCCGGCCTGAACCAGTGAAGGCGCCGACGGCCGCACTGACATGCAGCAGACGCTGGGATCACAAAGGGCTTTCGTCAAAAGGCTCCAAAAGCCATTACAAGTTCTCTCAAAATTGAGGAATGAAACAGAGAATCTCAAAAAAGAAAAAAGGACTTACAAAATTTACTCAAAACAGTGGTGAAAACGTGGGGAGCCCCAGGGACGTGTGGAAAATGACAGACCTGAGACTGGTGTCATCGGGGTCATGGAGGAGAAAGAGCCATGCTGGAAGGTGGGTTGAGAAACATAGCTAAACATGTCCCCAACCTGGCAGAAGGCACAAGCCTACAGAGTACCGAAGCTGCATGAACCCCAAGCAGAAGCAGCCCAAAGAAGCCCCAACCAAGTCACGTCGTCACTGAACTATGGAAAACTGAAGCAAAGCTTAGAATCAGTATGAAAAAGGCATGTGGTGCTATGCAAGCTATCAAACACTTCATGGCCCATGCACTCTCTCCTCAAGTTACTGAAAGATGTGCCCCTCCAAAACAGGGGAATCAGCCAGGGAAAAACAGAAGACTCTACGTCTTCTCTATGGAGGAGGGAGGGACGGGCTTGGGTCAGAGGGAGGGGAAGGTGACGTAGAAGGACAGCTCAGACGGAAGCTGGCAGGAGCCTGGCCACAACCAGGAGACTCTCAAGTGGCCACAAGACTGCAGGGGAGTTCCCAGGGAAAAAGTGAAAAATCCTAAGCAGGTCTGAAAGTACAGGAGATTCTTAGAAACAGGCAGAATACCAGGGCTGCAGTCTGCAAGGGTGCAGAGAAAGCTCAAACAGGCAGCAGTTATTAACTCTAGATAACAAAACATGGTCAGGAAAGGACGAACAATCACAGCACATGCCCCGGCCACGCTGTGGGTCTGGGACATGGTGACATTATGCGGACCGGACCCAACAGAAGCCACAGGGGAAACCCAGGCAAGAGGAAGGTACGGGCCCAGGGTGCAGCATGAGACCCCAACACCCCCACTCCACGGCAGGTTTAAGAAATTAAGCTTCACACAGGCATTTCTTGAGACAACGGGGAAGATGGGAAGTAGCGGGCTGCCCAGTTCCTCCTGCACCAAGTCCTGAAGGACCTGATTCCAAACTAGGTGCATGTGTCACCAAACAAAAAGAAAAAGAGAAAGCACAGTGGGACAGGGCTTCAGGAGGGGCAGACAGCTCCTCAGATATTTAATACTTACCTGTGTACTTTACATTAATTTAAATTAAAAAAATTTACTCGTTTAGATACATCCATTAAATGTTTTATCTAGTAAATTACACACGTCACACCTACTGCATATTTAATGCTTAGAATGCTCAGTAAGGAAATCTCTTGAGCATTTGGCAACACTGAAAGACAAAGCTCTGGCCAACCATTCATCTCACACGTGATGCTTGCTGGCATACTTGAACAGTGAGGGGCAGCTGAAGCCCCCCACTAGAAAGGGCACATCTGTCCCCGCTCTGGGGAGGGAAGCCACGTCGGGCTGCCACGCTGGGTCAGCTCATCTCTGCAAACCACGGTCATCCTGCATAGGTCGTCCACCAACACCTTCCTTTCTGTGACCCGCCCTGGGCAAGTTGGCTTGGTATAAAACCTGCACAGAGCCAATCCTGGTGATGAACTTCCACAACGGAACACAACACGTAAGCAAGCACACACAGAGCGGGCCCCACGGAGCTCAAACTGTCCCCCGCCCCGGGAATCACCCTACAGCCAGCCCATCCACCTCAGCTCAGCAACCAGGTGCCACAGCGACCAGAACAGGACAAATAAGGTCAACCACACTCTCTCCCCCAAGCTGCAAATTCTCTGCACTCAGGCACACGTTAGGCAAACACCACAGACGCTTCTTCCACTTCAGAAACTCCACAACAGAAGGACGGGGGCCAGCCCAGATCGGTCTGCATTTCTGATTCCACAGATGTCCACTGGTTCAGCACCTACTAGAGACGTAAATGTAAGACACTGTTCTGAGGAATGCTGCTAAGAGAGCAAGATGCAGCAAGGGGGTGCACCAGACAGGATGCCACAATGACTCCACACGGCGGCCGCTGGCCTCCTGTCTAGGACTTGAGCAGACGAGGAGTGCTCAAGTCACTGCTGCTGGGGTCAGGAAACCGCAAGGACGTATTTAACCACCATCTCATTCTGGATTTCTCTCCTTCCCCTTTTTCTAAGTGCTCCTGCAACTAAAGCTCATGAGGTATCTGGGTTCAAGCTGACACACCACGACAGCCCACAATATAAAGGGCTGAGCCCAAGCAGCCGCTCACAGAGCCAGTATATGCTGGGGAATTCCATTTATGTCATATACAAAACAAGTAAAGCTCATCTTTACGGTCAGAAATCAGGACAGCAGATGCCTGTGGGAAAGGCAAACATAACAAAGGTGACACTGGTCAGGTTCTGCTTCTCCATCTTACGTGGGATCGTGTGACTTGTAAAAATTCATCCAGCTGTTTTCTAGATGTAGGTTTCAGGTCAGTGAGGGGAGGAAATTGTGGAGTACACGTACAGTACCTCCTCTGGGAGCAGGAACCTGTCCCCACCACATCTGTTCTTAAAAGCCACCTCCTGATGCCTACAATGGCCTGCCTGTCAATACCATGCACATCCAGATCTTCACCAAGCAATTTTTTTATCCCATGTTCTGAAGTTATCCTAATAATCCAAAACCAGGATATCCCAGAGCACTGCCTTCACGTGAACTCCATCCTCTGTTCCCTGGAAGTACCCATAATTTCACTGAAAGAAGAAAAGCCTGTCAAGGGAAGACCCAATTTCTACTCCAATGGCTAGTATTTCCCAGTCTCGAGACCTTGTGTAAATAGGACTTCTCTAAGTTTGTCTCCTCAGAACGTATTCCGTCAAAAAGAAGATGCCAGCAACTAGACGGTGCCCCCTTTGCATTCCAAATGCCGTCAGGACACACCATCAGCCATTAAGACACTTGTTACTTTCAGATGTGTAAAAAGGTTTTAAAGAGCTCTCAGAATTGATGACATATAATACATTGAACCAGCCCAGTATTTCCATGCTTGCTGGACAGAGGAACTGGGAAGATTTAAACCATGAGGAACACACAGATACAGAGTCTTGCACGCCTTGTACACTGTTCTGGGAGCTCAGTGACCAGGGCTGGCCCCAGTCCCAGGAGGTAGTAAGGACAGGGACAGGAAATGCTTTGCGGGCTCACATCAGGACGCCCCCCAGTGAAGGGCGACAGGAAGCAAGCACATCCTCTCCTCAGGTGACTACTCTCCCCAGACGTGGGGGGAGGGAGGGACTTTGGGAGCCCAGGGTCATACTTACCAGGAGTTAAGGGATGAAAACTCAGGGTAGAGAGGGACAGGAGGAATCCCCAAAGCAGTCAGGACCGGTTTATTCCCCAATAAAAAAGGATGAAGTCAGCCTCAGGCAGGAGGAAAAACAAGACCCAAGTCACAGCCTGAGGCCCCCACTCACCAGTGCAGTTACGGAGCCCTCCGTCTGGGGGAGGGGCCCAGTGTGCAGCAGAGGGGCACGGAGAGAGCTCAGCACAGGCTGTTGGTGGGGAGCGGGGAGAACTCACCCCAAGAAAAGAGTAATGAGGGAGCAACAGGGAAGTGCCAAGGTAAGGAAGTTAAAATTTCCAGGTGAGTGCAAACAAAACATCAGAACTGCTCAAACATGTCAGCACCACAAGCAGGAAAGCTGTCCAGGAGCAGACGGATGCAGAGACCCAGAAGCAGGATCCTGCAGACAGCAAGCTCCGAGGTGGTCAGGAGAGACCTGCCCAACCAGAGGTGTGAGCACGGAGTCAGTACGTGTGCCCAAGGGCTTTGAAAGAGCACCCTGAAAACACCAATCCTTGCCTTGGGAACGGCAGTGCCGTATACAATCAAGAGATCACAAAATTATGTTCAGGAAGCCACAAGTTGATTTTAGATTATGGAAAATTTCCAACAAAATAGAAAGTTATGGGAGCTGGAGACCCGCCTGTCGCCGACTTACTGTTCTCCTCCCTCTTGCGCACTCTGCCCACCCCCAACCCCTCTGGCAATCATCAGCTTGTTCTCTACGGGTTTCGTTTTCGCCTTTTACGTCGTTTATCAGATTAACACATGCAAGTGGACTAAGGTGGAACCTGTCCTTCTCTGACTTATTTCACTCAGCATTAGACCCTCTAGGTCCATCCACGTTACTGCAAATGGCAAGATTTCGTTCTTTATGGCTGAGTAATATTTCATTGTGAATATATACCACCTTTACTCATCTGTCTGGACACCTGGGTTGCTTCTCTATCTTGGCTATTGCAAATAATGCTGCAATAAATACAGAGGTGCGTGTATCTTTTTAAATTAGTGTTTGTTTCCTTTGGGCAAATGCTCAGTAGTGGAGTTACTGATCATATGGTATTTCTGTTTGCAACCTGAAGAACCATGATATTGTTTCCCACAGCGGCTGCGCCAACTGACGTTCCCAAAACAGTGCCGAGGGCTCCCCTTCCTCCACATCCTCGTCAACACCTCTTAATGATCTCCCCGATACCAGCTATTCCGATTGAGATAAGG